TGCTTCCCGTCACTGTTTAAGTTCAGAGATAAGACTGCAATCTAGCAGTCGGGATATAAACTCAAAACAAAAAAATAACCATGAATCTTGTATGATTTATTTATTTAAAAAAAATATATATATCAATATTGCGTTTTAGAGAATCGATACAGTATCAAAAATATTGCGATAATCACATGTATCGATATTTTCTCACACCCCTAGAATTAAACATTCATACATTGATTCTTATTAAAGCTACTAAAGTTAGTCAAGATCAGTGTGATTTATTTTTTTTTGTTGTTGTTTGATTAACATTATACAGACAGCAGCAGGAATATTAGCCTGCTGTTACTTTAAGAGCTGCACGGATCCAATTTATTGATACACGTGTTTTCTTTCTCAAATGTTTGACCTCTTAATAACTCCTCTTAACATCAAGCGTGTGCTTTGCTTTATTTTCTCTTTCATGCATGTTGCTTATTCACTCTTAAATTGTCAGATGCCTTTTTAGTATATCATGCAACAGTAGTCACTTTACGTGATTTGACCGATTTGGATGTTGTTGGGCTTTTAAGAAGTGGTGAAATCACACTGCTGAATGGAACTAAATGAAAGGAACGGCATGTGGCACAATGATCGTTTTATTAAAATTGAAACTGAAACTAAGATTTAAATCATCGCACTACTTCTGCTAGCTCACTTTGAATTGTTTTTAAATTCGTCACACATAATTTCACACAAGACACATAATAGAGACACGTGATATAATTTCACAGTCACAGTCATCAAGTAGGCATTCATTGCTGTAGTTTTAACATTTTTATAAAGACGTAAGATCACTATTTCTACGATTCACTTGAAAAGTAGATCGTCAACGTCTTCAGGATCAATCATATAAAAACGTCAAATCGCCTAACCCTAGATCGAGGACATTTTAGTTGTTTGTATAAATGTCAGACTCCAGTTTTGGATACTGAATCATTGTTTTGTCTTTCCTCCAACTCGAAATAGAACCACACCTCATGACAAGATTTGGATGTGTTGGTTTTTGCTGTAGGATGTGTTTTCAGGTCTTAGTGCAGATACGCACATGTCAGGACCAGATTTTACTCTGTTAGCTGAGTTTGATGTTTGTGTCATGACTTGCTTACGACTTCAGTTGTTTGAAATGTTCTTTAAACAAGTTTACAACATGAGATATGGACTGGAAAATACCGTTCGACAGTGTTTCTTACAGGATGTATTTGAGAGTGGATACTTATTATTGTGTGTTTCTGTTCTGTTGTGGGGTTCAGAGTCAGGGCACAGCAGTTACGTTTAATGTTAATGTCATACAGTGATGAACGGTGAGGGAAATATGAACTAATTAGAGTAGAATGTTCTGCAATGTGAGGATTTCTCAAGTGCTGATTGGCTGAAACCTGCCAGCTCAGAGACTGATAGCTGCTCTATGCCGGTAAACACAGACAGCGCAACATCAAAGCTATTGAATACCCTGGAAAGTCTCCAAAGTGGATTTTACTGGGTATTGTGAGATTCAAATTATATAGACATTGTACATGATAATACACAAATTTAGGGTTAAATAAACATGAAAAGGAGTCATTTATTTCACCTCACTCTCTTAAGAAAAATGGTTCTAAACAGTACCAGAAAAGGGTTCTTCGGCTTGTAACAATAGCAGAACCCTTTTTAGTGCTAAATATAACCTTTTTTTTTTATAGGGTTCCATATAGAACCATGCTTTGAAATTGCTATATATTATTGGTTTTATAAATAACCTTTTTAATGATATTTTTTCATTAATATCACTATGTTAATATCATTAATATTAGTATTATTATTTATTAATATTGTTTTTTACCCCTGGTCTTATAATATCTTGAAGTGTATATTAAGGTTTTACATAAAATCAACAACAACAACGTGTCAGTTAGGTACTTTTTTAATGACGTGAAATTGTAGCAAAAATGATAAGTGTTCTAACAGCAGTTGATAGCAGAATACATTAATGAATGACAATGCACATTGAACATAAATAAATGCTTAAAGAAATAAAACAAACGTTTTGTGTGTGTGTGTGTGTGTGTGTGTGTGTGTGTGTGCAGCACAGAAAACAGCACGCGAGTGCAGAAGTGCGTTCTATTTCGTCTTGTTGCAGTTGAATCTTTTGAAATCACAATAAAAGAGCATACAGAAATCGAGAAGCAGAATCGAAATGTATAATTTTATAACAAGTAATTTGATTCCTGACCTTATGCATCTGATCTGATTTCTGAAATTGGAATAGCTTTTCGATGCCCAACCCTCCTACTAAATTAGTTCATTCTTGCATGCAAAAAGACCTGTAAAGTGACTATGGGGCTATGTAAAATATTTTTTACAACTTACTAGGTTTATCATTTGTCATTTTTTCCTGATAATGTAGATAATCGTCTGTTACCTGACTGTTGACATCGACATCGCGATACTTACGAGACATCGTCGATATACGATAATATCGTCATATCGCCCATCCCTAATGTATAGTTGACATTTGAGGCTTAATACTATAGAAAATAACTAAAAGTTTATCAGTTAGAGTGTTTTCAGCTTGTTTATTTTCATTAAAAAAAATACGGCATGCAGTTGCATCAAACAATGGTATAAACATCATTAAATGTAAATTGTGATCACCGTAATTAATAATCGCAATTACAATTTCAAGGGAATAATCAACAATTAAAATTTTTATCATAATCGTGCAGCCCTACGTTGAAGACAATTTTCATTATCGTGTCTATAGATTACAAACAGTTAAAGGGATAGTTCACCCAAAAATGAACATTACGTCATCATTTACTCACCCTCATGTCATTTCAAATAACCTTGTTTTCTCTGTGGAAAACAAAAGAAGATATTTCAAAACTAAATGTCGTCCTTTGACTTTAATTGGATGGAAAATACATTTTTCATACGTCACATTTTTTATATTTTTCAGTATCTTCTTTTATACTCCAGATAAACAATGTCATACAGGTTTGGACATATGAAGATTCTGTTTATTTTAAATAATGCAAAAATCATTTATCACTAAATTTAGTTGATTTGAAGTGGTGACAAATTGTGCAATTTAAAACATTTTGATTATATATATCTTTTTAGATTTTATGCTTAGGTGTATTATATTCATGTTATATTCATTAATTTGTATATATGAAAGTATATCCCTAATCTAGGGCTGTGCATTTACTACACGGAGAAAAAATCGAATGTGATTTTCATGCGCATCTCATCAGTAAAGGCGCTTCTGTGATTAGTAGTAAATCTCCAGCACATGCTTTCAGATGGAGCGGCATTTACTACACAGAGCCGTAGTTCACTGACAAGCTACACAAAATCGCATTCATAATCGGCAGTGAATCACCTGCGATTTTGAATGCGATTTTGCGTAGCTTGTCAATGAACTACGGCTCTGTGTATTAATTGCTGCTCCATCTGAAAGCATGTGCTGGAGATTTACTACTAATCACAGGAGTGCCTTTAATGACGAGATGCGCATGAAAATCACATTCGATTTTTTGCACAGCCCTACCCTAATCCATAATCTGTATATCCTTGCTCTCTAATCTGGTTTGGCAGATCAAGTGTTTGATGACACCGGGAATCTGAGACACTGCGAATCAAAACAGAGCTTGTATCTTTCAGCATGGTCCACATAAACCCATGAGAGGCACTTAGTCTGTTTAGTGTAGCTCCAGCCCATGTTTTGACTTTTAAAGCTATGATTTTATCTAGATGCAGGTTGACTCTCAGCACTACTGTTTTCCAAGAAAAAAAGTGACATGTCTGTGTCAAATAATTCTATGATTGTATCAAAGAGAAGATTTTTGTAGATTGTATAATTTTTTTTGATAAATAGTTTACGCAAAAGTGATAATTTATTCACCCTCATTGCACCCCATTACACTCAAAGCAAAACAAAAACAAACAAACACCGAGACATTTTCCAAAATATATTTTGTGTTCCACAGAATGCACAGAAATTCATACAGGTTTGGAACGATATAATAATGGAATAAATAATGACAAAATTTTCATTTTTGTGCAAACTATCCATTTAATGTCATTTCACATTAGGATTCCGTTTTTCTATTATACACACATTCACACATCTTGGCAAACATTTTCCAAAACGGTCAAATTGTATTTTCTCAAATCCAAGAGCGATATCTTTATGAAGTTGTCTGTCATCTGATCAGTCATTTAGTCCAAAAATGTGACAGTCCAGCAATACTTCCATCCAGTACATATCTGTCCTGTTTTGCCTATCTGTAATAAAAAATGTCAGTGGTCTTTCCAAAATCATATTATGATAAACTTTAAAGATCTCCATCATCCCCTGACCCAGTATTTACTCCAGGTTCTAGTTCCCTGTTCCAGATATGATCAAAAACACAGGCAGGGATGTATTTCCCAGATAAGCATATGGAGAATGATATCTATTAGTTCATTTTTCCAACTGAGTGTTTGATAATGTTTTAACTCCACATCTGTGTTAAGGTATGACGCCTTAAATTTGCTTTTAAATCAGTATAGCCCGGGTCACTTTGACCTCTTATTGACTATTCCATTAAAATGTGCTACATTCTCTTTTTTTGGTTTACTGCCAGGGTTATTTGTGTTCATAAGGACCGGTATTTTCACATTACAATGTTTACACTAGTAAACGCTAATTGACGAAACCATCTTGGCCCTGTGCACACACTGCTTTCTTTGTCAACAAAAAATGGGCCAGGAAAGATGGTTTTTGGACAGCAAAAAGACCAGAAGGAATGCATGATGAGTGATTGTGCCAGTTAGGAAACCTGGAATTGCGATCACGTTTAACAGTATTTTTTTTAATGTTCAGGATTGTCCTGATATGCCCCATACTACTGTTCGTGCTGTTTTCAAAAATGTCATTTTCAGAAAAACAGTGCTGAAATCGCACATCTCAGTTAATACTCTGTATTTTTTTTTTCCTATATAAATTTTAGGGTCTGGTGAAGGATGTGGCAAGATCATTCAGCGCTTCCCCAAAAAGGACTGGGATGGCACGGTATTTCCCCAGGGTGTGGAGATGGTAAGGATTCATTTTTGTTTCTGAAAACACAAACCCAAAAGTAGACTCAAGTCATTTATCCATAAACAGCTGCTTTCTGGAAGTAGCTGAACAGAAAAAAAACTGTATATTCTACCTCTTTGTTTTTCCTAGTTGTTCTCTATGATGGATTTTCAGTTTTTGCCATTGGTCAGCTGTGCCCACTTGATTCTAAACAGATTAAATGTGACATTGCTGGAGAATATTTTTTGTTTTCCTGAAATCTGTGACTGCGTCTGCCCACATCCTCGGAAACTCATATGGTTCTGATATCAGCCTTTTCTTTTGTCAACAAATGCATAATTATTGTTTACGTAAAGGTTGATCCCAGTCGCCTCCATTTGCTCTAGTTGGAGAATTCCAAGCCCATGTCCTGTCCATTTCTTAAATGGCATGCAGAAGTGCTTTGCTGTGCCTCTGTGTGATCAATTGCTCTACACACTCTGGCCCAATTAACAGACACAAATCAACTTAACTCTGGACCAAATATTTGCTTATCTGAGCTGGAGAAGAACATGCTGTACATCTCCTCAGTGACAGTGGCTTTAAAGTTGTCCTGGTTCTTGAGTTCAAAAGCTAACAAAGTCCAGCTCAGTCTTTTGGGCTGTGTCCTGGTTGACTTTTTGTTTACTTGTTTATCAAGATGTAATGCGTAATTCTTGACTTTTGTGTGAAATCAAAGGACTGAGATGATCTGCGCATTCTACTTCTTTCATCCTATAAATTATCACATTATAGTAACATATCATTCTGAGAATGTATTAATTTATTTAAAAATAAACTAAAGGTTCAACTCTAATATAAAGTACACCTCTTCTGACGAGCTTGTTTTTAGTTTCCCAATTAAGATTCATTTTGATAGTTTTATATTTTGAGAGTCACCAACGTAGGTGCAGCATTAAGTCACAAAGGTGATGCAGCTGTGCTTGTATCATAATGAAGAAAAGGAATTACATTCTTGAAGAGAAAAACAATCTTTTCTGTAGTGTGACTGTCTTTCATTATTATTTTAATCTGGTTTAGCTATTTTTAAACTTTTGATTTTGCAATATAATACAGAGAACCTCTACAGAATCTCAAGACTGTGTGTCAAGGTCAATAAGTCTCTTAAAAATTTTTTTAATTATTAAAAAATATCTTAAAAGATATTAAACGATATCTTGAAATATCAGATAATTTGACCTTTCCATGACAAGGTTGTAAAATGTCATGTGGCACGACTTCCCAAAATGATATTTAGGAATTATAAATCATAATAATTAAAAATGTTTTGCAAAATAATGATTAAGTTGAGGACACTCACATGTGTTCAAGGTGTAAAGAAAAATTGATGGTTACACTACATGACATATTTAAAATCATTTAAAAAACTTTTATGAACCAACATGAATACAAAGAGGACATTTCTGAGAACATGGCACATGTGTTTTGGCACGTCGTAGACACTTTTATTTGTCATTGAGCCAAACACAGACTGTGCTCCCTCTGCTTTCTTGTTTTATTAGTCATTTAAGTGTAAGTGAACCAAAGAAATATGCTTGGTTACACAATATCCTTGGATAACAATGGTATTTATGATACGTGGCTTTGCATTTGCTTGTAGAAAAATGTTTCATCAGATCCATAGAGGACATTGGCTATTCAGTAAGAGGCTCATTGTTCGCTGTGAGGACTGATTTTGAGTCTGTTTACACTCACCTGCTGAGATGTGGCCGCAAGCACCGTCTCCCATTGATTGTAGTTACTTTAATCTAAACAGTCATCTAGGAGTCGGCTAATGAAGTGCAGGTTCAGTATCTTCCTAGCAGGTGGTTGAGTCTCTGGTCAGCCAACAGGTTACGCACTCTGGGTCAGTCCTGACATTAGTTGTCGTTTTAAACATTATGAATTCTTACTGATTTATATTTGTGATTCTAAGAGGACATGATCTTTTTCCCACTCCAGGAATGATGGTTGTTTTGTCTATCAGAGACCGTGGAACTGGATTTAACTCCATTTCCGTGGTTTGAAATACACTGAGCAGTCACATTATTTGGTGTAATACAATGAAGGTCCTTTTCCTCATGAACTGCTTGTATTGAGAAGCACTGGAAACATTCCATAGGGATTTTATTCAGTACAGACTCAATGGCTTCATAAAGTTCCTGCAAGTTTAGGGAATGTCCTTCAGCAGTTGCAGGTCTCTAGACTGCGACAGTTTTTTGAGAATGTGCGAGTTAAATTTTGATGTGGTCACATTTGTGCGAGTGCATGGTCTGCGCTGCTCCAAAGCATCTGCTCTGCTCCATACAGCGCACGCTGCAGAGCCGCAGCACAGTGCAGCGGGAGTCAGACTTCACTGATCACGTGAAGAGACTGAGAGAGGCGATTTCAGTGCGAGTGCTGTGGGTGTATAGCCTGGTATATACTCGCCGCGTCAGCACGAGCGCAAAGGTGCACGATGGTGGATGGAGGATATGGTTTTCAAGCGAAAGTAAAGTAAAAGACCACTTCTTAAAAAAAATTAACATGTTGGTTTTTTTGGGAAAAAATATGCAAGCACTGTTACCAGTTTAGTTTGACTTTTTTTTTTTTTTTAAAAGCCTGTTGTCTTTGCTGTTTACCTTACACTATGGAGGCTTTCTTTAAATTTTTTTTATTTACTTGATTCCTCAGTGTTTGTTAAAGTTCTGTCATTTATTAGTCAATATATTATACAGGATGTGGTGTAAGCCATGCCTCATTTTATTTGTTTTTGTTAATAAACGTTATATAAGCTAGTTTGTCAGTGCATTTTTGTTGAGATTGTTGTAGAGCGGAACCACCAAGTCTGGCACCATCATGGTCAAAGGGTCAGAATAACATTTCAAACATCGCGAACCAAAATTTGCTGATAAAAGTCACATTGTCCCTCTTTAGTTACATTTATGTTCCAGGTTTATCAGTCTGTCTCATTGCTCATTGTCAAAAATACAGATGTCGGTACCAGTCAGTACTGAAATTTTAAAAATGTGACGATATCAGCTTTTCCCAATAGCATTTTGAGCGCTGTGAGTGGATTCTTAAACACCTCTGATTGGCCATTGTGTTCATGTACTCAACAAATATATCTGTGATTGGCTACAATGATCATCGCTTCACGCTCTTCACCGAGTGCTTACGCAGATACACATGGGTGCGTTTGAAAACCGTGTCAATCAGAGCTGTTTAAGAATCCACTCAACAGCGCTCAAAATGCTAGCGGGAACTGTTGGTATAGTCACATTTTTAACATTTCAGTTCTGACATCGGTACATTTGACAACACTAAACAGGGATATTGGTTGGTTCTTTGGTCAACTATAGGATAGATTGGGCTTGGTTGACAATATTGATTAACCATTTTGATGAACCAATATCGAATTTAAATCCCAAGATATATCTTTCAATCTATGCTGTTTTTAGTTGATGTGTGAAAAAAAAAATCACTAAGCATTACTTGTAGCGCACCTTTTATGCAATAATCGCGATAAGCATTTGAAATGAAACAAAATTTCAACTTACACACAACTTATACAGTACTTCCATAATGTAGAGAGAGCATGTGCGCGTGGTTGCCAGGTTGGGAAGATTAGGAAAAACCACTTGGCAGAAAATGGATCGATTTAAGAGAAAATCTCTGATTGGGGGATTTAAACTATTGACATTTGATCACCGCAACCATGAAAGCTTGTGGAGGCTTCTTACCAATGCAAAAAATAAAATAAAATGAAACATTCTTAGGATAAATAACCAGCGGTTAAATATTTGTAGACGATTATGCTTAAATAATCGATTAATATATTTATTGTGCAGCCCTACCTTATAGTATCATAGTAATGTATCAACTGACAGGGTAGTTTACTGTACCTGAAATATATCCAAATGAATCGATATTAAATCAAATCAAGAGCTTGTGAATTGGAATCTGATCGAATCATAAAATCTGTGTAAATACCTGCCACTATTAGATTGTATTCCAAAAGCATTCCAGAATCCGCTTGAACTCAAACTGTTTATCTCTAAATGAACTAGATTTGAAAAGCCAGGTTAAGCAGCAGTATTATTATACATATTTTGAACATCTTTAGCATTTACGCGTGTTATTTTTATAGTTTGCATTGTAGTGAATTATTCACATTGAAATGTTATTAGTGGTTTTATGTAAGATTAATTGCGATGCTGTTTTTTTCCATTTTCTCATCTCACATGTTGTTTTCGAGTAAGTGCTAGAACAACATTCATCAAACGCATTCAAATCTCTTTGAACACTGCGGGGACAGTGGAGTGCATAGGGTGGCCGATGTATTGGATAAAATTAGACCAGAGCTGTATGTATGTCATTTCTTGTTAGTCATTGGGCGTGCCAGTACTCCCAGTGGGCTGCAGAATCAAACCAGAAGAGTGTTTTGCTGGATTTCAGGAAGCGTGGCTTGAGTTCATCTTCACAGCATCATCTCCGAAGCATTCAGCAACATGTGGAGGAACCCCTCAGCATAGTTTCTGCTCCGTCAGTTTACTCAAACATATCAGTGCACATGTTTCTACTGATCTCCCTACCCAATGTGTTTCTTATGCTGTGACCCGGCCTTGCGTAATATTTGGCTGAATTATATGGTCTTAAGATTCTTTTACGATGCTCACGTACACTTTTATCTAGTCTTTTGATGCTCATGTGCAGTTGCGTCTAGCATCTGTGTGTATTAATAGCAGAGCACACAAATATGTTGACTGTAATCCTTTATAGTGTTACAAATTTTCCTCTTATTTAGGAAAAAGTCAAATTTCGGAGAAAAAGTCAAATTGCACGGAGGATCCGTTTAGTCTAGTTGTGTGGGTTTTCCGGTAAACTGTTTATTTTGGATGGATTGTTAAATAATGAAAATAACAAACTCATAAAAGCACATTGCTGGGTTTAAGTGTCCCCAACATCCCCAGCACACGAAAATGAAATGGCTTCAGTCCCATCTTTGTAGTTTTATTGAA